CAAGACAGGAGAAAAATGATCACTTTTGGTCATTGCACCATCTTGGGGTTTGGGGTTTGTAACAATAACCCAACATTATGCTACTAATTTAAGCACTAAACCAACATAATTATCATTATCAACCACCAAATCAGTTCATCAACCAAAGTGGGAGTTCATAGAGCCCACACACCAAAATCCAACATAAATAAAGCTGCCCACTTACATGCATGAGCTTATATGTGCAATAGAACTTCTATAAATCAAGATTTTAAGGCTGGATCGTCACTTACTTCACTAAATGTTCAAGGCAGAAATTTTCGGCCTTCTTGAGCCAAAGAAAACCGTGAGAGCAGCCTCCTTTCCTAGCTCAAAGTGCTCTCCAAGTGATTAGTTAAGTGTAGTTAAATTTTGGTGTGATTTGGAGGAGATTTGGTGAAGAAATGATGAAGGAAAATTGATGAAGCAAGTTTGGTTCTTGCTCTTTGAGATGCACGGCTGAAATGGAGGGAAAAGAAGAGATGTTGCAGGCCACTTTGGTTGAGGAATTGAAGGGTTTTGATCAAGTGTGATGCACCCATGAGGAGCTCAATAATGTGTGGCCCAAAATGCTCCAAAAGTCAACTAAAGATAGTGCGCGTACACGCGCGCTTCGTGCTCAATTCCTTTCGAGTTCGTTTCACTAGTGCCCTAAATCTCTAATGTACTTTCATTTACATTAATATTATTTATTCTTAATAGTCTAAAATTTCTCAATTAATCGCGCGCGTAAAAACGCGCATTTCCAAATTAAATGCGATAACGCGAGACCTCCAAGAAATTTTTATAACGATAGTACTAATGACTATCGCTTGAGTACTTAAATATAAAATTACTTATTTTAAAACCATTGTACAAGTCTCCAAATTTTCAAACTTATTGTACCCTCGATCGATTAAAAATTTCACACACATTTTCACTAAACGAGCTTCCAAAAATTAATTTTTGAAACAAGTCATTTTAAAAATATAATGAAATTATAATTTCATGTATTTAGGTCTAATAAGGATAGAAAATAATATTCGAGACTATTGGCCAAATAAATAATTAAATAAGCTCGTAACAGGAGTTTAAAAGTAGGTAAATTTGTGAGTTCTTACATGAGTCGAGTATTAATTCTTCAATTAACTTTTCTTAATTTACTATTAATCATTCTTAATTCTCCAATATTAATACACTCTCGATTCAAGTATAGCCTCGAAAAACGTGCACTTGTTGTTCCAAACTAAACGAATTTTTTTGAAAACTGAATTTTCCAACAAAACGCTTTAAAAACATAAAAGAGACGTTGTTCTATCTAAATGGATTTAAAATGGTCGAAATAAATAATTCGGAGAAAATGAGTGAATAATTATTTAAATAACCCGGTAATATTTTATAAAAATAAGAAAATTTTCGGGTTCTCACATCCTCCCCTCCTTAAAAGGAATTTCGTTCTCGAAATTCACACCTTGATTTATAAATAATCCCCAATACTTTCTCCTCCCGTGACCAATTTTCACCACTTTTAATTCTCCCTTTCAAAACTCACGCTTATTGAACTTAACTATTCACAGGTGCCATTCATGATTTTATTATAGGTCTAGGGGCTTGTAGCAATTGATTACATATCCATATACACTGTAAAATCAATTAAAAGTAAGGTAAATTTTCATATGCCATAAAAGATCATAGTAGTTACACTAGGTTATAATAAGTTCGTCAAATCGTTTCAAAAGAAAAGGGAAAGCAACAAGATCAAGATATGCAAATTCGCAATACCCAACAAAAGGATGGCATCCCCTACACAAACGATTACTGTCTTCCAAAAGTTCTAGTCTATACTGAGGTAAAACTACAATTCCTGTTTGTCGAGTGAAGTCAGGTTCACCCCCACTGGTAAAGTTTCTACTACTTGGATTCCTCTTACAATAATCAGTATTAATCACTACTTCTGGCACTCGACTGATTTGCAGTGGATTTAGCAGGTTGTTGAGAATTTCCTTCTCTCTTAGAAGCTCTAGGACAATTCGAAAACTTATACTCGGTACTACCACACCTCAGACATTTTCCTTGTTTTCTCCAGCAGTCTGCTTTAGTGTGGTTAATCTTACTACAGTATCCACAAGTTATATGGGAAGTCACAGCTTGACTAGTTTGAAATTTTCTTTCTTGTTGACCTCGCCTACCCTGATTCTCTTTTGGCGGAACTTCGCTTGATGGAGTTTTTCCAGGTTTGTCATGCATCCTCACTCCTCCAATCCCTTTTCCCATATCAAGGGGTTGGGTAGACTTCTCGGACGATTTGGAGGTATTGCTCGGATTACCCCTCTTTCTAGCATGAAAAGATTTAGATTGAGACTTAGCATTCTCTACCCACTGCGCCTTATCTAAGACATCCGTAAAAGTAGCAATATGGGCAGCTGGTAGGGATTCTTGAATTTCTACATTTAACCCCTGAATAAAACTCCTTATCCGTTTCCGTTCGGTGACTACAAACTCAGGGGCAAATTTGAAAAGTTTGGTGAACCGCTCCTCATACTCAGCCACACTTAATAATCCTTACTTTAATTTAATAATGTCGTCCTCCCTCTTTTCTTGTATAATTGGCGGGAGGAACTTGACATTTCTGCCTCTCCATCTACCGTGACAATAAATCCACTCACAAGTTGCAATTCAATTTGCTAGCATCTTTAAAGATTTAAAGAAAATAGGCAAATAAAGAATACGGTCTAATGCATAATGACAAGGAGAAAGAATGGAGGAATGGGAACAAATACTGCATATGGAATCAGTGGTGTGAAAACGTGATGGTTTAGTTGGTGAGATCAGGTATTATGGAAAGGACAAGAGGAGGGTGAAAGAGAGACGGAAGGGGCCGTCTATACGTTTGAGCTGTTGATTGATGAGGAAGAATACAAAGTCTAGTGCCTTTTTAATATATTACAACTAATAAGTAAAGGATATTATGATAGTTTTACAACACTAATTATGTGAATATGAGGGGAACTGAGTAAATTGTCAGAAATCCCATGGGAGGCTTTTGAAATTATCCCTTATAGTAGGGGTGTGCATTCGGTGCAAAAGCGGTAATTCGGTGCAATGAATTTGATGAATCCGGTTATTTGACCTGTAGAAATCTAAACCGTTTTCAATTTCGAATTGGCCATAACCGAATTCATTTCACAACCGATTTCAAATTCGAAAATAGTAATGAATTCGGTCTAACCGAATTCATCTATTAAAAAAACTGATTTTTTAAAAATTATTACTTATTTGATCCCCAAATTTATTCATAATTCAACACATTACTTATGTTCTAATCATTTTGTGATTTAATTTAATTGGCATTTATTTGATCACTTATACCTAGAATCCTTAGTCTATGATTTAAGGAACACATAAAAAGTGATTAATTTAAACTAAAATAAACCTTAAACTGTACAATGATTAGTGATAATTTATGAATTTATAATTTATAATGATTAATAATAAGTAATATTAGTTACAAACTTACAAATTATAATGATTAGTGATAAGTTATATTAGTTACAAACTTATAATTTATTTCAAATCAAAATAAAACTTATTTACTTACATATGTTATTGTGACAGTCAATACACTAATACATTGATTTGCAATTCACATGTATTCACTTACACTGCTTAGTTGTCTTGTCTATACTTAAAGCCTTAAGATTAGTGAATAGATAATATGAATTTTTATGTTAAATATGTAATACTATAAATTTAGAGCACACTAATACTTGCAAGTTACAGATTACGCATTCAAATATTCAATAATTCAGACATGAATGATCAATGATGTATCAAATTACCATCTAAATTCTAATTACTAATTATGTTTATTGTTTAATATTTAGTATTATACATATATGTATTAATGATTGTCTAATTCTAGTCATGTTACTCATGTATAAAATAATAAGTAGTTATCTTATATTGTTATGTATTACTATATATTTGTATTATTATAGTCATATAACAATTAACAAATACTAAAATAATATATTGTACATTATTATATATTATTATTATTATAAGTACATGATATGATGATAATACCATATACTAATTATTATTAATAGCATTTACCTATATAATATAATAATATATTAGTAGTATATATTAATACTAAATAGCATTTATCTATTTATTATATAATTTTATATACCAATTTGGTATTCGAATGCAGTAATGCGGTACCCTATTTCAATTACCGAATTTGAATGCGAAATCGGTTATTACCAAATTCATAATTTCATTACCTATTTCATACCATATTAGAATTCGATGAATTCGGTTTGTACTGAATTTGTACCAAATTACCAAATACCTGATTTCAAATTACCGAATTGAATTTGAATTCGATTATGAATTCGGTATGAACCGAATTTGCTCACTCCTACCTTGTAGAATTGACTGGATACATTCAAGGGAACATGCAAGGAAGAAACTCAGTGACGGACTTTCTTGGCTTCAATTATCAATTATTGAAAACAGAATAGTTCCAATTAATAATTAGTCCCCTTTCCTTCAGGGGCACTAACTAGTTTGACAGTCTTATCATTCAAAGCCGCGTTTCATCCTTCGGTTAATATTTGATTAGACCGAATTTGTCGTCCAAAAAAACCAACATGTCCTATGATTATCATTATTTATTCAAGTTGGAAAGAAAACATAATCCCATGTTTTCACATCCATATGCCGGGGATTTTTCTTTTCCTTTTACTTTTTTTCCTTCCGAAATGTCAATAATTAACCTACTCCTATTTCTACATCGTGAAAAAAGAGAGATCCAACTAGGTCATCAGAAATTTAGAGGGAACTAAGCTGCTGCCAAAGTTGACTGTTGAATATGTAGGTTAGGGTGTTAGAAACTTTGAACTCACACTTGAAGAGACACACAAGTATCTTAATGGTCATTGGACCAAAGTCACGTGGTTATTTACCATTGCGCGTTTTGGCCTTAGATCTCCATTCTTGTCCTTGAATTCTTCGTCGATATTCACGTGGATCAGACGTAAGTCCACGTCAACGCTTTAGTATTATCGTAGCCAGTGGCCACAGGCCTGCAAAACCACGGGCATTAATAGAGCTTGGCAAATCCGCAAAGCCAAAGAAGCAACACCAAGAAACTAAACGATACAATACATACTCATCAATGAGCTTTAAGGCCCTGATTCTGGTTGTCTTTGCGCTTGCAATAGCACATGCAGATTCCAACTCTGAAGGTATCAATAATCATTAATTACGTACGCACAATTTCTTTGATATTTTTTTTGCTTTTTCCAATTTCAATGTTATTGCCTAACTACGTATAGCCAAAAACATAAACGGTTTTTTTGGGGCTATAAAACAATGTATTTTGTTCTGAATTTGGTCCGACTTCCATTGTTTTCTTTCCCCTTGTTTTCCAATTTTACATCTAGAAAAGGAGAAAAAGAGCAAGACGTATAAAATTTTGTGCTAAAATGAGTTGTCATAAGTCATTATCATGTACCTCAGATAATTTGGTCCTAAATCCTAATGATACTTAATGATTAAATTTGTTTATTGGTACATTAACAGTGGATGCTCTTCATGCTTGGAAGATCACATTGGCAGATCCAAATAATGTCCTTCAAAGCTGGGATCCAACACTTGTAAATCCATGCACCTGGTTCCATATCACCTGCAACAGTGACAACAGTGTTACAAGAGTGTAGGCTTTTTTTCAACTTCTTGCAGTTTTCCGTAATTAACGACCCTCTCCTCCCCCCCCCCCCCCCCCAAAAAAAAAAAAGAGGGATCCCATCATTCATTTTCAAACATAGTGTTGCTGCAGCACTGAAATACTGATATAGCAGATTAACTTTCTAAAACCATATTTGAAAATGACAAAAAAGAATGCAGGGACCTTGGCGTTGCTGGGCTTTCAGGACCTCTTGTACCCCAGCTGGGAATCTTGGCCAATCTTCAGTATCTGTGAGAACATATATAATGCCACATAATAATTGAATTTTTTTAGATTCAATGAATAACATACATCTAATTATATTTCTTCCATCATCATTAATGAGTAATACTGATGACGCCGTTTTAAATTTGCAGGGAAGTGTACGGTAATAAGATCAGTGGATCTATTCCACAAGAGTTGGGGAACCTGACAAAGCTGGTAAGCTTGGACCTGTACCATAATCGATTAAGCGGCTCAATCCCAGCAACTCTTGGCAACTTGAGATCCTTAAGATTTTTGTGAGTAACACACGCCTGCCGCTTCAATAAATTTTTAAGGATAAACTACTTAGGGAGTCTTTAAATTATTTTAACTATCTTAAATTGGCCCCTAATCTATTTTGGATCTTAAATTGGCTCTTTGACAATAGAAAATGTCAAACTTTGATCTTTCATCCCATCTCCACAGGTAAGGCTGATGGATCTAATAACAAAATTGGACAGACATGAAGCATTAAAGATTAACATTTTTTTCTTGTTGAGGGATCAATTTGAACCTTAAAATATATAAAGGGCCAGTTTGAAATAATTAGGATAGTTTAAGAGCTCCGTTTACCTTTTTATATATATATTTTTAACTATATACTGAGAATATGAGATGACACCTTGAAATCTGGCCCTTTGTTTAAGCATGGATAGTAGAATTAGCTGGTCGAACATTACTTTGTGGAACTTTTGCGTTTGACAACTTTAGTTGCCTTTGATTTTTGTTTTAATGTAGTCTTCTGCCTAATGGTGTGCGGTCTACAGGCGATTGAACAGCAATAGACTATCCGGAAAGTTACCTGACAGTATAATTCAACTTATCAACTATGGCCACTTACAAATTTTGTAAGTCCACATAACCAATATCCGTACATGTCTAATTTTCAAGCACATTGTTATTAAATTTTGCATCCAATCTCAATTAGTTAACTTTCACGCTCATCTGATTATTAGGCTGCTTTGCTAAAAATATACTTCTACATGATAGAACCACGTTTGGGGTGTTTGTATACATCCTTCCATAAATACAAAAATAGAGATTGAAGCCTTATAAGTACCTTTAGCTTATGTTTTCAAACTTGAATCGGATAGTGATTCTCTCTAGTTTGGGGTTAGGAGTAAATGACTTCAACTGATTGAGTTGAAATATAATCGGGTGATGTCATAATAATGTCATAAATATATTTTAATTAATTATATATAAAAATGAAGTAGCATAAAATAATACCCCTAGACTTGGTATAGTTGGTGAATTTATAAATAATACAAAGATTCCATTTCACAAAAATGTACAATTTGAGGTTAGAAATATAATGTGAAAACCATTTATGGTTAGATTTACAATTTCTTAAAAGTTAAGGCTCAAAACAAAATACCAGCAAGGATTTAGGCATGAATGAGAAAGTCAATTACAACTTTCCAGCGTTTCTTTCTTCCTCGTTGCCGCCGGCCCGCCGCCCGCCATCCTGTCAACTTTTCCAGACATCACACTTCTGATCTTTTCTCCCTGTTTTCATTTTTTAATTTCTATTTTGTTTCCCTATTCTATTAATAATACAAATCAAAACAAGTTTCTGTGGCTATGTGACTTGCAAGTCCTGGCCTCGAGCACCCCGAATGGCCCCACATCAGAGGCCATGAGAAGCGCCAAGAGGAGAAAAACGTGCATGAAACTCATCTTGTGAATTATCTAAGACTACACGTAACAGAGAAAGTGGTGGATTTCAAGGATTCTTGATTCTTTTTCTCTTCACTCTTTCATGTTTCTGGAAACCTTTCACTGTCTATCTCCCTCCCCTCTTGATTTTCCTTCCTTTCTAGCTATTTTTTTTTCCTTCTCCCGTTGTTGATTCCATATCTTTTGACAAAAATGAAAAAAAAAAACATTTCAGATCTGTGAGTATATGTCTTTGAGGGAAGAAATTAAGATTTGAGTGTGAAGAGATTAAAACAAAAGTGGGAAAAAGAAAATAAAAAACGAAAAATACAAATCAGCGAAAAGTAAAATATGAAGAAAACTGCATTCTGACCGGTTTCCTGGCCTTGTTTGGACAGCTATTTTCTATTAGAAAATTGTATCATTTTCCGTGATTATATTTTCCTATTACCTTTTTTCCTCACATACATTAAATCGTTATAATAATTTTTCTACAAAAAATCCTAGAAAATGCAATCCAAACACAATTATAGTTTTCGATTGAATCCTATTCTTGACTAATTTTGATCGATTTTTACTGAGCGGTTATATAGGTAAAGTTGAACCGAACTCTTAACCGGTTCCCAATCTAATCAATTGAGCGATTGGTCTGATCCGAGTTTAGAAACAATGCTTTTAGCACAAGGTTATATTTGTGCTTTTCAACCCAAATTTTTTTAATAGTTAAATAAATCTTGAGTATTTTATCAGAAAATTAAACTAAGGATCCGTTTGGAAGGTGAGTTTTTTGAGTATTTATATAAAATTTATTAAAACTTACTGTAGAAATTGTTAATTTTTTTTTGTTTTCTAGGGTATAAAAAATAAAAAAAAAACTTTGTTTTTTTTCTTTCTTTTCTTTCCCTTTCCTCTTTCTTTCTTTCTTTCTTTCTTTCTTTTTTCTTTCTTTACTCTTTATTCTTTCTCCTTACACCAAATCTGCTCTTCCTCCCTCATTCCCTATTGTTGTTGCCTCTTTTTTTTTTTTTTTTTCCTTCCCTCCCTCCCTTCCTCCCATTTATCCCTCTTGCTCCCTCCCTCCCTCCTTCTCCTCTTCTCCCTTCTCTTCCTCGCCCATCCCATGACCTATAGTCACGCGATCAAAGAGGGAAGGAGGAGGAGGGAGGGAGAGTGGAGGAGGAGAGGGAGTGAGAGAAAAAAAAAGTGGGGGAGAGAGAGTAGCGCCAACGTTGGTATCGGAAGAGGTATCGATGGAGGTTTCGACAGGTTGAGGAGGGATGAGGAAGAAGAAAAATGGCAAAAAAAGAAAAAAATTTGTGGTGTTCTATAATATTTTGGGGGTGTGCATTTTAAAAATTGAAATGTTTTTAAAGGGCTCTTGTAGATAAAGTTTTAAAAAAACTTGTCCATTAAAAACCATCCAAAAAACACCCGTTCCCAAGCAAATCCTAAGTAAGCATAAGAATAGAATTAAAAAATGGTCTCACAAATGTGAGCGCGCGCGCGCACACACACATGTTCATATATATATGTATGTATGTATTTATGTATATATGTATGTATGTATGTATGTATGTAGATATGTATGTATGTACATACATAGGTACGTATGCACTTATTTATAATCCAACATAAGTAGTAATCATGCAAGTATGCTCCAAAATAATGGGATTGAATATTATTTATTAAGTACCATTTTAATTGCAATCTGAAATAGGTACTTGATGTTTTGCAATATATTTATGTTAGCAAATTTTAATTTTTGTCTAACACTAGTTAATACTTCTTGGTTTAAGAAATACTCTAGACCACACAGTGGAGGACTTGAGAGTTGAATAACGAATCTTATAATTGTTTAATTAATGTTCCTATTAGTTAAACTAAGATGTTCTCATTTTAATCGGTGGCACCTAAATATGTGTTTTAGGGACATATCAAATAATCGTTTGGCCGGGAGAGTCCGCGCAACTAACAAAACAGGTAGAATCTTAATCTCTCCTTCTGAATGCTTTCTTACCTTCCTTTTTTTATTTTTTTTATTTTTTAAGTTGGCATTAAGATCTCTTTTATTTGTTTCTCCTTTTAACTGGACTTTGTTTGGGTATTTTACCTCAAGGATTGGCTATTACCACGGTAGTTCAAGATCCGAAAGCTCATTATTGATGGTGGACAACGATCTCAAAACAATAATGGCATCCTGACTATAAATAAATATGGGATTCATCAGTCTTGGAAGGAATAAAGTGCTTAGCTAGCGCTCTGTGAAATTTATCCTAAATCAAGAAGATGAGAATATCTAGAAGTTTTCTTTTTTATCTATTTTATGTGACAGTCAATCTAAAATCTCAACCTTCTTTTTCTAATTCCTTTTTTAAGCTTTTGAATTTGAAGTAGACTTGATATGTTTGCTAGTTTTGATAGGCTGATCTAATGATCAATCCAAATTTATTGACTAACAAGAGTAAAATTCTTGTTTAAAAGTATTTAAAACTAATGAATTAATTTTTTTTACATTATCAGTGTAAAAATGTGTCACAAATGGATCTAGATACATATTATATGTACAAAAGGAAAACTTACAATGTTGAACAAAGAGTATTCCAGGGCATATATCGATAATTGCTAATGAAAGCCAAGAAGGATTTGGTCTCGTTGTTAAAATTGAAATATCAGAAATTAAATGTAATGGGATTTAAGACCTCATGTTCTCTCCCCATTTCTTAAGTCTTATTGCTTTCCTGATCGAGAATTTTTTTTAAGAAAGCAGCTGAAAAAAATTTCTACAATAACAATTTATGAGAGATTAGTTTCCCCCAAAAAAAAAAAAAAAAAAAAAAACTTAATCGGAGGCTGGGCGGAAGACTTTCCCGCTTGATTGGGTTTCTAGACATTCACTGTTCACCACGCAAAATCCATGGTCCATGGATACTAGAACAATTAACTTATTCATCTGACGTTGGGCCTTTTCCAAACAAAAAGTTATATCCTTGGCCAGAGAAGCTGTTCCAATACCGAGTGCAAGAAATTAAAATCGACAAATTACTATGAAACATCCAGAATTGTTGACAAATTACCTTTGCCGTCTACGTTTTATATGTAATGTACCGGATCCAAGGGTTAGACCAATAACTTTTAAGCGAAAATCATGGGATCATAATAGTTAAGTTATTAATGGTCAAATGTGCCTAAGCTTGTATTCCATTACAATTATACATCAACGGCTAATATGAGATGAGGTCTTACATCCAAGCTTCCTTAGAGCCATTATATCCTTGCAAATCCCTATCATAATTTGAAGTATCCACTTAGTTGTTTGAAATTCTAGAGATAGTTTCCACGGGCTGTAGAGGTCACCTCCCTCTTAGGTTGTTTTTGAACCTAACAATTGGTATCGGAGTTTGGTCTCATAGAGATTAAACTCAAACGGCTTAGAAGTAAAGATGACAACCAACAATGTCATGTTTTTTAAAGGACAATCTGTAATTAGACCTCTAATGTTTAATGGGTCAAATTATGTGAGTTGGAAAGAGAGATTGATTATCTTGTTGCAATCAATTGACATTGAACTGTGATTTATTGTTAATGAAGGTCCATACGATACCTCTATAGTAGATGAAAATACTTATAAGCCTAGAGCAAAAATAAGAAATGAATTGACTGCAGAGGATAGAGCTTATCTCACCTTAAATGCAAAAGTTATGAATGCGTTATATAGTGTTTTAGATTCAAATGAATTTATTAGGGTTAAAGGCTATAAGTCTGCTAAAGAGATTTTGGGACAAACTGAGAGAAATTTATGAAGGCAGTGAGAATGTTAGAGAACAAAAGAAATCTATCTTGGTTACTAAACATGAGTCGTTTAAAATAGAACCTCATGAAAATATTGATAAAATGTAATGTAAATTTAATGATCTTATTAAGGATTTAGAGGTTCTGGAAAAGGAATACTCCTTAGGAGAGAAAAACAGAAAAATCTTGAATGCTTTGTCTAAAGATTGGGAGAGTAAAGTGACTGCTATTGAATAGGCAAAAGATTTGAATTCAATGCCTATTGAATCTCTTATAAACTTTCTAATTTCTTATGAGTTGAAATTTAAGACCAAGGTACAAGAAGAAAAAGAAACAAAAGTAAAAAGGAGTATTGTTTTAAAAGTATCTCAAGATGAAAATGACTCGATTTCATTGGATGGTGAAGAAATGGATGTGGATGACAATAATCTAGCTTTCATCATAAAAGTTTCAAAAGAATTCTCAACAAAAGGAGATTCAGAAAAAGAGGACTTAGCAATTTGAATTTCAATCAATTCAACAATGCAAGAAACAAAGGAAAACAAGAGACCAACAAAAACTAAGGTGACAAATGCTATGAATGTAGCCAACTTGGACATTAAATAAGTGAGTATCCAATGAAGAAAAAAAAAAGGAAGAGCTAAAGGAAAACAAAGATTCAATAACTTCCAATTCACATGGAATGAGTGCAACTTCGATGGTGAAATTGAAGAGGAAGAAGAATCTACTCAAATGGCTTTTTATGGCCATTGGAAATAATGAGGTAACAACTTGTAACTCTCAACTTGAAAGTGATGATGATCTTGAATCCTTCATTGAAAACTTGCATGATAGTTTCAAAGAATCTTATACTAAAAACAAGGAATTAAAACACAAAATTAGTTTTCGTCTTCAGGACAATGCACGTCTTTTTCAAGAAAACAAAAAGTTGAAAACTGAAAATAATTACTTGAAAGAAAGTGAGTTTGATTTACAAAATGAAATTGATAGAAAAACAAGATGTGAAATGGTCAAAGAGGAACAAGGTGGCTTGAAAAGAAGAATTGATAATCTAAATGAGTTTCTCTAGTATAAAAAACAAAACTGTTTTCAAACAAATGGATCAAAACCTCATTTTGGCACTCATAAAAAGAAATTAAATTCTGGTGCAAATGAATTCACTATTTATAAGAAAAGAGAAGTAAAATCTATTAAATCTTTTCTTGTAAATAACTCTTTGATTATATGTAATTTTTATTGTCAAAAAGATCACATGAAAAGTGATTGTTATATGAGGAAGAACATGAGAAGAGGTATAAAATGCATGTGGATAGTTAGACATGATACTAACTCTCAAGAACCAAAAAATTAAAGGGTACCAAATATTATTTTTTGGACTCTTGTTATAGAAGAAGCTATGCATGTTACATTTGATAAAACTAATGATGATATTTCCAAGAGTTGTTGTGAAGATAATGATGTAAGTGTTCAAGAAAGATTTAAGAAACTTACGATTCAAGATGAAGAAAATGCTCCATTAGAAGAGAAATCAAAGGAAGATGATTTTCAAGAAAATCAAGCGTTAGAAGAAAATGACAAGGGTGTTAGTATACCTAAAGATCTTTCAAAAGTTTGGAAGTTTGTTCAAAATCATCCCAAAGAACTTATTATTGGTGATTCATCTGAAAAGAGTATACAAAACAATTTCTCAAAAGATTCGGAATGGAAGATTCGAAACAAGTTGGAACGCCTATGCGTACATCCACCGAACTTGACAATGATGAAGAAGGTACGAAAATTGATGAGAAGAAATATAAAGATATGATTGATAGTTTAATTTATTTAACCACAAGTAGATCCGATATTATATTTGCCGTTTACTTGTGTGCTCGTTTCCAATCTTGTCCTAAAGAATCTCATTTAAATACTGTTAAAAAAAATTTTAGATATTTAAAGGGAATCTTAAATTATGATTTTTGGTATTCTAAATGTCATGAATTTGCCTTATGTGATTTTTCGGATGTTGATTTTGGTGGGTATAGGATAGATAGAAAAAATACTAGTGGTACATGTCATTTCTTAGTAATTGTTTGGTATCATGGTTTAGTAAAAAATAAAATATTATCTCTTTATTTACGGCGGAAGCGGAATATGTAGCCACTGGTACATGTTGTACTCAATTGTTATGAATAAATCATACTTTGAATGACTTTGGACTAGTGTATGACTGTGTGCCGATGTATTGTGATAGCACAAGTACCATAAATTTGATAAATAAGCTCATTCAATACTCTAGGACAAAGCACATAAACATAAAATATCATTTCATTCGTGATCTTATCCAAAAGTGTGAAATTTGTATTTGTTCGAAAGACAAAGTTACTAATATTCTTATAAAAGTTTTACCTTTGGATCAGTTTATATTTTTTAGGGCAAAATTGGGCATTTTGGAAAAGACTATCTAAAATTTTTTTGGTCAAATTTTATTGGACATCCGATAGTTGATGAACGGGCGTTCGATAGTACTCTAGGGTCATTTGCACTTCATATTAGGATGCATTTTTAGTTTTTTCTTTTGTAATGTTTTTTATGTTCAGTACTGTGTCCTTTGACATTTTTGAGTGTTACCATTAATGGATTTTGGTTGATATGAATGTTGGTATCATTAATATTCATTGATATGTTTTGATATTATTTTTTTGTTGATATTGGCTGGTAATGGTTGCCATTGATTGATTTTGATGTTAGCTGATGATGTTACTTTTGATGGCAATTACTTTCTGATTTTATGATGATAAAAAGAGAGAGAAATTATTGAATGATTTTAAATTGGTTATGGATGCTATATGAAAGGGAGAGTTTTTGATGATATTATATTGACTATGATGGAAATTACTTTGCTCATGACTTTGCTCATATTGGTATTAAATGATTTTGAATTGGTTATGGATACTATGTGTAAGGAGGAGTTTTTCCTCAAACTTTTTCAAAATATCATCCATTGTTTTGTCATCATCAAAAAGAGAGAGAATGATGATCTTGATCCCGATTTTTTTGATGTATACAAAACAATTGGATAATTCAAACTAATATTTTTTCAATGAGAAATTTTTTCACCTCTGAAGAAATTTGATTCAAAAAGTAATTGAACGAAGAAGAAAGAAGTCGGAAGATGTTGGACGCTCATAATGACAATACCGGACGTCCGATAGACAGGACAAGTACCGGACAATCATGTTGGACGAAAAACATCATCACCAGACATCCGAAAGAATTGAAAAGATTTTTCAAACTCTCTGTCCACTTTCGGATGCAAGCATCAAAAGCGAACGTCCGATACTCCCAACTGCTAGTTGACTCTTCAGTTACCTTCTATCTATTGGAAGGTTTAATGAAACACTTTTTTGGTCTCCCATAACAGAGTATGATCAAAAACTTCAAACAACTTTTGCACACTGAAAATAAAAAAGATCAAGAGTAGTTTAGTGAGAAAATATTCTTCAAGGAACATTTGTACTCTTTGTAATGTAAGATTCTTTGTAAACTTTTCATTTGTGAGAGAATATTTCAATAATGTAGCTCTGTAAGGGTTATCTTGAGGGATTGTAAAACTTCCTTGTCCGAGTGAAACTTGGGACAAG